AAAAGCGTTCAGTCAGGCTTTGGTTTTTCTTCAGGAGGAATTGCTGTATAAATAGATGTATATTTGGTGTGTCCATGGAGGAAGTGAGTTCAGTGTCTTTCTATGTCACAAGCTTGTACCTGAAGTCTCCTGTATAACTTTGGATACAGAAACTTAACTACTAACCCCCAAAACTTAACTACTTAACTACTTAAAACTTAACTACTAATAGCCTATTGTTGATCAGATAGCACACATTTTATATGATATATATATAATCATATAAAATATGATATTTTATATCATATATACCTGGGCTGTCCAAGGGCCAACTATACTTATATTTTATTCATTGCTTCTAACACAGTTCTTGGCACACAGGAACACAAAATGATCTGTTAATTAATGGATTTTTCCTTATCCTTTATCTCCAATAAAACTGCCCTCCACTTTCAAATCTAGTTTCTATGTCCCTCTCTAAATTTATAAGCATCATTCCCTTTCATTTTACTTGCCCTCTGTGTCTTCCTCTAGCCCTATAATATACTCCTTCAATAGCATGTAAACTGACACCCTACTATTTACTACTACAGAGGTTAAAATCCTGGTTCTGCCACTTACTGTGACTCTAGGGAAACTGTTCAACCTCTCTGTGCTCCCAGTCTCTTATTACAAAATAGTAGTAACAGCAATATATAATTCAAATAAGATTAACTTCAGTAATGAAGTTCTTAGAATTCTTGTCACAGAGTAAGTACTCAAGTGATACTAGCATTTTTTTTAACCTTGACTATGTTCACCCAAAGATGATCCCAACTATTTATTTTTTACCTGTTCTTTGTCCAGACTGCATTACAATAAAGGAAAATCACATATCTCTACCAATTAAATGCTCTATACTGTGACTTTATTGTCTTTTGAGCTCTGGGTATCTAAAAACACCAAAGTTTGCTTCAAATATTTTCTGTCCCCCTTGATTTCAAACCAAACTCTGTATCTTGTATTCTCAGCAGATAAATCTCATCTATTTAAGACCTGCATGTGCTGCTATTCCCTCAGCCCGGAGGATCCTAGGCATTATTTCTCTTAACCTCGCTCTTAATTTCTCTGTAGTTTCACTCGTTTTAGTTCATTTATCTAACAGCAGAAACATAGATTCCTCTCACACTTAACCTTCACTTTGATATTCCCAACCTATTCCCAATAAATTCCTTCTTTTATCACTGTCTCCTTCTCTACTTCTTTTTCACTCAGCCTGTGAACCTTTCTGGTCTGTGTCAAAACACACACACACACACACACACACACACATTCTACTTGTTATGCCACTACTCTTCAACCTTCTTTGCAGCCACAGTCCTGAAAAAAGTGGTTTAAATGTAATGCCTCTACATCTGCCCATATACCAGCAGGCCCCAAAACTTTTATATCATAAATTATATGATTTTATTATTTTCCATCAATATAATTTTTACACTAACTGCAGGGTGAACAGAACTGACCTCTCTCACAAATGAAGAACCACCATTTAGTAAATACTATGCACTAGATTCTGTACTTTGGATATATTAACTCATTGCATCTTCACAATAGTCCTGAGACTAAGTATTTTTACATTATAAATAAAAGTATTGTGATGTAGCTAATTTCTCATATATTTATGATCTTGGCATATTAACTAAAGTCTCAGTAGCCTTGGTATAAGCTGATACTCTTGCACTAATCAACCCTAGTTCCTCACCTCATGGTCCACCATACTAGTGACACAGTTTTGTGGAGGATCACCAAAGACCTAAGCACCAATTGCTTATTTACTGCTCACCCCAGTAGATTTTCTTTGGGATTTTGTTCTGTTTATTCCTTATGTGTTATAACTTTCTTTCCATCTAGATATGGACACCCCTGCCTTCAATTCCTTTTTATTTTCAGTTCTAGGTTCTTTTTTCTTTAATGTTTACTTATTCTGAGAGAGAGTGCAAAAGAGAGCAAGGAAAGAGCAGAGAAAGGGAGAGAGAGAATCCCACGATGGCTCTGCACTATCATCATGGGGCTTAAACTCAGGAACTGTGAGATCATGACCTGAGGCAAAACCAAGAGTTGGTCTCTTAACTCACTGAGCCACTCAAGCGCCACCAGTTCTAGTTTCTTAATACACCTCTTCCCCATCTTCCATCCTTCTTTTCCAGCATATATAAACACACATTTATATCTTCTATATTTTAAAAAATGCATTTTGAATTCTACCTCCTCTTCATTATACATTACCCTACTTTGCTTTTCATTTCCCACTGAAAGAGAAGTCTATGTCTGCTATTTTTACTTTCAAATCTCATTCACTCTCCTACCCATGGAAAGCTCAATTCTGCAATAAGCACTTCATTGAAACTGCTCTTTCCAAGACCAACAATAATCTCTAATTACAAATCCAATAAAACCTGTTCAATTCTTATCTGATATGACCTTTCTGAATGTTTCATTGACACTTTAAACTCCACAGGCTTAAAAAAATTAACTCATTGTCTCTACTGGCTGTTCAGCCTTCTTTTCCCCAGATTTTTTTTCTGTCAGATGTAACTGAATCTCAACCATTCCATCTTTGTAGGCTTAGGACATTCTGGAGTTCCCTTCCAAGCCTCTCTTTCGCTCCTCCAGTGATTTCACCCAACTCATAACTCCCACCTTGGCCAAAACCCTTCATTAGTGGCTCTTGACGTTTGGTGCTCATTAGAATCACCTGGGGAGCTTTAAAAAAAATGATTGGTCTAGGATTAAAGCCTGAGCCCAAGTAAGAGAATATCAGAGAGTAAGGTCAGGCATGGGTAATTGTTACAATCCTCAAGTAATTTAAATTCCAACTGGAATTGATAGCCACTGTTTCACATTCTTCTCAGTGCAATAGTCCAAGCTCAGGCTCTCATTCCCTCTACCTTGATTATTTTACTCCTCTGTCATTTCTCTTCAAGTCCACAATCTCTCTTCTTTAAGATTCTTCATCACAGTTTTGTGACTAAAATTTATAAATACACAACTTTGGATATGCACTGCACTCCTCACCTAATGTCTAGAATAAAGCTCATAAATAAATAAATAAATAAAGTTCAGTCACTTTGTATAATAGAATTTCCAGAAAACGTTTGAGGACATAGTACCTATTTAGTAATTTGTAATATATTGAAAACATAAGAAAAAAATTAAGACAAATGTGTAATATTTAAAAGTCTTCTGTGCACCCATTTTCCCAAAGATAGCATAGTGCCATGCATATGGAAATCATTGAAAAAAATAATCTAGTGATTTGATTTTAAAATATTTTAAAGGCTAAACCCCAGGTACCCCAAAATGTAATCTAGCCAGATACATTTGTACCTACTAGGAATTTAGTAACTGTCAGTTAAATGCCAGATAACTGTAATGCCTACAGTACCTTTCACAGCTTCACACAGTTCAAATAAAAACAAGGAAGAAGAAATCTGGTACCACTACTCTTTTTCAAGAGCTCTATACCTACAGCCCTTACCTTGATAAAAATAGTAGTGCACCACTAGGAGTTCTCTCTGTGTGTGAGGGGACCAGGAGGCTGCCCAGTGTACTTCTCTGTTTTTTCCGTTTCTCCTCATGAAGTGTCTACTGTCATTCTAAATCACCCCACTCCAAAATAAGTCAGTAAAAGTGAGAAAGGGCAGAATGATTAAAACTACTATTTGATACTTTTGCATATATGGCTCTTTCATATGAATGTATCACTTATGAATTGAGAAAAGAATCAAAACTTTAAAAAGATCCAAGTTCCATTTAATCACTGTGCTATTAGTTCTTGTGTGTTATCAAAAGCCACAACCCAATGTACAGCATTGTGTGATAGCACAGGACTTGCTGAGGGAAATAGAAAACAGGATCAACCCCTTTTTTATTTCAACCTTAGATATAGGCTCTCAGTATTCCTCCTACCTATTTAAGTCAAAATTCTATTTGAAATCACATGTGGTACTGTCTGGTAATAAAACTGAAAGTTTCCATTAGGTAAAGCAATGAGAGTATATGAGAGTAAAGGAAAATAAAGCTAAAGGATGTTATTCTAAACATAGAGAACTTGAAAAACTTATTACAAATCAGTCACTCATTGACCATAGTCTATACTCTACTCCACACTACGGTGAATGTTTGACAAGTTAATTGAAAAGGATAAGATCTCTCTCTCTCTCTCTCCCCACCCCTACCCCCACACACACAGTGCATGTGAAACTGGTAAAATCTAAATAAGGTCTGTATTTGAGTTAAAAGTATTGTACCAATGTTAGTTTCCTTGTTTTGTAAGGTTTTAACACTAGAAAACAGTGGGGAAAGGGTACACAGAAGTTCTCTGTTCTTTCTTGTAACTTCTTTTGAATTTTAACTATTTTTAAAACTTGCTTTTTAAAACATTTAAAAGCTGGGCTGTAACCATACCTTATATTTTCATTAATATTTCCATATGTAATGAATTTCAAAGGATAAACAGCCTGTTAACAATTTGTGTAATTAGAACTTTGCATATTGGTAGCAAACATATAGCAGTTGTGTTCATAGTCAAGATGTGGGCAAGTAGCACAAGTGTAATATATGTTTTTCAGTTGTTTCCTAGCAAAGAAGCAAATCAGTTATTGGAACCTTGTGTAAATGGCAAGGTTTGCCATGGATTTTTATCAAAATGATATTGAAAATTTTATATAAGCTTTCCCATTAATTCAGAGATTTTCCTGAACAGTAACAGAAGGATTTTTAAAATAAAACACTAGAGGGGATCCTGGGTGGCTCAATGGGTTAAGCGTCTGACTTCAGGCTCATGTCATGATCTCATGGTTCATGAGTTGAGGCCCCACATCAGGCTCTATACTGACAGCTCAGAGCCTGGAGCCTGCTTCAGATTCTCTCTCCCTCTCTCTCTCAAAAATCAATAAACCTTAAAAAAATTTTTTTTTTATAAAACAGAATCAGAAAACAGATTCTCCAAATGTAACTCATGAAAGAGAGTCCATTTTATATCCCAATTTTATTTAACTTTTCTGAATAGTCACAACATTAATCTATGGGGGATAATCTAGTTAGTATAATTGAAATTCCATTTTTTTTCTATTGATATGCATGTGTTACACTTGTATATAATACAGAATTTCCAGTTTTGTTTTAAAGGACACATTTAAAAAACTGAGAAGCATGATCTACAATTTCAAACAAACCTAGGACAAATTCATAATTTCCAAAATAATATAGTTTTCTAACTCTGTTCCAAAGAAATTAATGATATAACTGATGCAAAAAGTCCAGCACAACTGTTCTTTCTTTCTGAATGCATACAGTCTTGAACTATTGTAAAATCTACTCAGAACCATCTAATTCATTTTATGCATAATTAAAATGGAGGGAAGAAGTAATTTCATTCCATGGATTTGTGGGGGCAGTATACTTTTTGATTGATTTAGTGTCAAAAGTATACTTTTAAAATTTAATTTTGAACAAGTTTTACACTTTTAATTTTTCTGCCCAGAGACATTCTGGGAAATGTATTAGTCTTTGAAATTTGTTACCTAAAGACCAAAATTCTCTAAGGTATGTCAGCTCCCATCATGGAAGCCAACATATAATTTATTGGCCATGTCAGTGAGTTTTAAAAATATGAAAGATATTCACATCGTCTCTAACATAATGGAACTTCTAATAGGACAGTTTTTGAAGTATCTTTCTATTAGTCTAAGATTAGTAAGCAAAGAAGTCTTTCCCTTTACATCCCTATTACAGAATGGCTATGAGATTTCAATTCTTCCTTCACATAACAAATGAAACAAATGTAGTATAAAATTATACATTCTGTAATAACTTAGGGAAAAAGTACATACATGTTTAAGGCCTTTAAATATTTGTAAGACTTTCCTGTAGAACTGAAAGACAGAAATGTTAAAATGACTATGAAAATGAGGACAGAACTGACCAAAGAAATTGTTTGAATGGGATAATTATAAGCAAATATTTATAAAGAAAAATGAATAATTCTATTAACAGACTGAACAAACAAATATATAAGCATTCAAACAGTCATTGGGAGCGAGCAAGGGACAGTCTATTAAAATGATATAAAGGATAGTTAAAAAATTACTAGAAGAAATATAAGTGAGTAACACTCAAGCTAAGAAATCAGAAACCCACATGCATCCCTGACAATTTTTGAAACTGAAGGCTACCTACATACTTGACTGCTCACTGCTGGAGTGAAGGAAAAAAGTAATCACAAACATGAAGGGAAAAGCCCACTTAAAAGAAAACTGAAAGGGAGAGTACTCTAGAAGTACAAAATAGTATATAATGAAAATGGAAATTCAGTTCTAACTACTACCTATTTGACAGATAGCTGCAGCAGAATGTTAGCCTTGGGGAAACATGTCAGCTTGTCTATACATTCTTATATGATTGATGTATTCAGATAACTATTACTTGCCAACGATAATTATTATCAATGGATATATATTTCCATTCCTTTAACAAAAGCAACTTTAAGATGTTAAAACATGAAGGCTTTCAGAGCTCCAAGATTAGGATACAAATAAAATTGTCTCAGTCTACACCATGCCAGAGAAGTTCGCAAAGGAAATATCAGTAAAGCCGGGTGCAGTCCCACTAGCCAGTGAACACAGGACCGGACCCAGGAACACATCCATGGCAGAAGGCTGGTGCACTTGGCAGACTTTCAGAAACAAGAAAACCAGTCACAATCGAAGCCAAACACCCAAAAGGTGAGTGTCTCTGACATCACTTGGAAACACAAACTCTTCAGATGACATCTTCAAATTCTTTAAGCAAGTGCAATTTTACAGGTTGAACACAGTTCAAATCTGACAATATCTTCATGGCATAGAAGTTCATGTCAAGCTTTTTTAAAGTCTTGGTTTCAAGAAGAGGCTGATTATGAGCCATGAAATCCCTTGGAAATAAGGCTCTGGAATGCCTCTTGTGAGTGGTATAAAAATCTCCCTTCAAGATCACCTCAGGAATGAAGTTTCTGTGCATATGTTGAATGTAATCAGGCTTGAGGATCACTTGATTTATCCTTGGTTAGTGGGTTACCTACAAAGGAAGAAGAAAATATAATCATTTTAGAGCAAGGCTATAATCTTAAAACTTCAAACACAATTTAGTATTAGAAATTAATAGAGAACTCAAAACTATAAGATTTGCTTTATCAAAATGTTAAATTTTTAAAGGCTACCATATTCAGGTGTCAGGCCACCTTATAAAAACACATCATTTCTTTCTATTTATCATCTCACAATCATCTTTTTAGAGCCACTGGTGCAACTTTTCAAATGACTGCAACTGTGACAAAGAAGATCTTAACTGGTGATGTTACCCATCTCAAACACAAAGAATGATTCTGGAATCTTTGTTCTTTGTACAGGCTTGGAAGACATAATCCAGATATCATAAATACATTATGCCAGGCATCAGTAAAAAAAAGATCTTTGTTCACAGGAATACAATCAGACCACATTTTCTAGAAAGTCGTTGGGCCTTCACTCCCTAAAATCCATTCTTGAAATAGTTTAAACCATGACTGCTTACTTGACTCAATTATGTTTCAGAAAATTTAACTGTTAAATGAGGAGAAAAGAAATATCTGGGGAGAAAAACAATGATTGTACAATGTTTTACCAAGTTTTAAAGGTGTCAAAAGTTCTCAAAAATTTGATTAGAGTCATATTAATGTTATTATAAATATCACTGAGGGAGATCCACATTGGCTTTTCACAATAATAAACATCTAGAATACTTGATACCTCTATCTTTCTATAGATGCATGCATGTGGATGATAGATGGATATAGAGACAGATTTCTGCTGTTTCAATGAATTTCTAGGTATACTCTTAATATCAAGGTATTTAGAGTTGTATAATTGTTCTTTTCAAGCAATGGTTATAACAAAAAGTGAATCCTTGAAAGTTACTGTGGATACTTTGATTTTATTCCATTAAATTATATAATTACTCATTTTTTCATTAGACATTTACAGAAATATTTTTTTAATCAACTATGAAAAAGACAAACAGTAAGCAAAATAATCCAGCTCTGGCTCTAACATGGCTAGTCTCAAATTATTCTACGAAAGGAAGATATAAAATTCAAAAAAGTATTTTCGGCATGGAGGCAGCCATCTTATTTGTGTCTCTTTGGTCAACTGTCCTTACCAAGGAAGAAGCCTCTGCTTGCATATTTAAAACTTCATGCTCCCATGCACAGAGGAACTATGGAAGGAACTGAACTAAGGATGGAAGGATACAAACACAGAAAGGGCCTACTGACATCTAGAGATGCTTGGAGCAGGGGCTATCTTAGGTAGAGCAGCAATCTCATTATCAGTTTGTCTTCCACTTAGTGGTCACTTTACAGAAGTTCTGTGAATAGCTCCCAATTTGAGTGTTAGTGTTAAGGACAACATGGAAAGAAAATATGAATGTCTCTACAGACATTAATGGAGTGATTGATAGCTGATCATCATGAAAAACACAGAAACTTCATGACAGACTTTCTTGATAAACACTGATTTAACAGTCTTAGATTGCCATTGCCTGAGTAAGATTGCCGCTTGCCTTTTCTGAAGATTCTCCTCTTAGTAGGAAGAATTATGAAGCATAATAAGGAATTATATTTATTTCCAAACTCGTGCCAGGGAAAGAGAGGAATTGAGAAGGAGAGGGACTGAGAGAGAACAAAAAGGTTAGCCTCAGCAGGGATTCAGCACAGGCATCTGGAGAGACGTGGTGTGGTGGCTCCATGAGAGCAAGTGGCCAGTCCTCCTACGTTATGTCAAGCCCTAGTTATAAGTTATCTCTTTGTGGGTATAGTAGATGCATTCTTCTATCTTCATTGCAAGCTAAGCATTTCATCCTACTAGGTTATATAAAGCTGGGGAGTGATTCTCTCACTATTTATGTATTAAAGCTTTGTTTTCACTTTGTCTTTTAAAAATAGACACTCAAGTTTATAGCACAATACCAAAGGTTTATATACCTAGAACAAATTTTTCCTCTATTTCAGTAGACATATATGTGTACATATAGACACATATAGACAATTCATATCCTAAGAATATCATAAATGGACACTTTTATTCTATTTCTATCAACTAAAATAATTGCTAGAAGATGAAAATTTAAATATGACAAAGAATTATCTAAATAAGCATGGACTGAAACCTGACTAAAATGACTTTTTCTCATCCCAGTTTTACACAATACTCCTATTTGGTTAATCCTAAAAATATCTTAGCACATTTTATGAGATGAAGCTAGGGCTCAAGTGGACTATCTGTTTTAGATTAATTTTTGTAGGGGTGCCTTGGTGGCTCAGTCAGTTAAGCATCTAACTTTGGCTCAGGTCATGATCTCACGGCTTGGGGGGTTCAAGCCCCATGTTGGGCTCTATGCTGACAGCTCAGAGCCTGGAGCCTGCTTGAGATTCTGTGTCTCCCTCTCTCTCTGCCCCTCTTCTGCTCACACTCTGTTTCTTTCACTCTCGAAAATAAATACTAAAAAAATTATAGATTTAATTTCTGTACATTTCTCTGATCCAATAATTGGTTTGGCATGTGGAGTTCTGCAATAAGGTCAGTGTGGCAATAACGGTCACAATGGATGTGTCATGCTACCTCTGGGCCCCTCAGTTTTCCCCAATGTAAAACGGTTGCTGTGAAGATCAAATAATGTAATGTCTATGAAAATGCCTAGCTTTGGGCACCTGGGTGGTTCAATCAGTTGAGCATTCAACTCTGGGTCTCAGTTCAGATCATAATCTCATGGTTGTGAGATCGAGCCTCAAGTCAGCTCCATGATGGGCATGGAGCCTGCTTGGGATTCTCTTTCTCTCCACTGTCTCTTCTCTCCCTCCCTCCCCCCACCCCCAGAAGAGAGAGAGAGAGAGAGAGAGAGAGAGAGAGAGGAAGAAAATACCTAGCTTTGCCAACTCTGAAGTAGTATAATGAAAGGTATTTTTTAATGTACTAAAAGCACAATGAGAGGATCACATTAATAGCCAAATTAGAGGACTGCTCTTACAGAATTCAAACAAAGGCTAACTACTTGTCCTTTTCAATGTAATATAAATATGAACAAGTGTGAGCACATATCAGCACCCTCCTTGATACCCTCCATGTTTGTACCAAATGAAATGGCAAAACCAAAGATTTAAAAACATAAAGATGATTTTGAATGTAGGTACATTATCACTAGTTTTAATCACCTAACACTCAAGACTCAGTAAGATTTTAAAATGAAATTGTCTAAAACGTAACACAAACAACTCAACCTGTTTATGATTTAATGTGCTTCTTAAACAAGTCCAAGTTATTTAAGTCAATTCTGGCAAGTCAGTTGGGAAACAAGTGCCATTTTACCCGTTGTAGATGATAAACTAGAACTTCCTGATATGCAAGGGTTGTTTAAGCAACATTTATACACGCTAACATTTTAAAATGTCGCTCTCATTTAAAATTAATTTTTAATACACTACATTAAGCATTGCCTTGTTTTCAGAACTCAAATATTGCTCTTTTCACTCAAGCTATGTCTCTTGGAAGAGGCCAATAGTAAAAAGTTTTAGCTGGTAAGGAGGATTTTCAGCAAGTTTCTAGTATCTAAAAGCAGGAGGTTGCAATAAAACCATCCTTACAGGATTGGAAATAGCATTTGCTACCATAAATGCACTGTCTTTTGGTTCTGAAGGCAATAGATATAAAATACTGCATAAGGGAGAGAAATGGTCCTACAATCATTATAGTTTTGCCTTGAGCTTCATACACTTTAATCACCACCTCAGTGAATTTGTCTTTCCAAAGGCACTGTTTCACACAACTGTTCCTTTTTCTGTAAATCTTATTTGTGTGTGCTGCACACTAGCCAGTTCAGCACTACTTCAGAACTACTTAGCCACTTCAGAAACTACTTAGCAGCTGAACACATGCCAAAGGTAATAATAATAATAATAACAATAAATAATGGCAGCTTTTCTAGTCACAAAAACAAAGTTATCTTGATAATGATCCACGAGGATGAAACTTACCTAACACTAAACAAAAAGCACTAATTCTTTAAGAATTATCCCCCTTTTTAATCCATCCATTTATTTCTCCCAGTCTAACAAATCTGTTATAGGATCCTGATTAGCTTTCTCAAAAGCTTGATGCTAAGACCACATTCTTTAAATATACTCACCAATTTAATTAGAGAAAACAGAACCAGGTAATGGCATATATAACATTAGTTAAGTTTGAAATTAAGTGAAGTCAAGTATTTTATACTGTTTCTATTTTATATTTTGAACACTATGAAGTATCTCTGCCTATCTTCAAGATAAATTAGAAAGGCTCAAAAGAAAATTCAAGAATCTATCCTGTCCCCAAGTGTGAAAGATGTTTTTATAAAGTTCTTAAAATAATTATATTCATGGAATCTATAATTCCTTCCTCCTCCCCCGCCCCAAGACTTTCTGCCTGCATTATCAGGAGGAGACAACACACTATGATGAGAGGCGTGACAAATAGTGTGGTCTCCGTGGGCATGTAGACTGAGTTCAGATCTCTGCCTTAGCAATTTCTCACACTTTGAGGCTGAAGAAGTTATTTGAACTCCCTGAGTCCTAGCCTCCCTGAATGTAATATGAGAATTGTATTATGGGGCGCCTGGGAGGCTCAGTCAGTTAAGCGTCCCACTTCAGCTCAGGTCATAATCTTGTGGTTCATGGGTTCCAGCCTTGCGTCGGGCTCTGTGCTGACAGCCAGCTCAGAGCCTGGAGCCTGTTTCAGATTCCGTATCTCCCTCTCTCTCTAGCCCTCCCCTGTTCATGCTGTCTCTCTCTCTCTCTCTCAGAAATAAATAAAAATTTAAAAAATTAAAAAAAGAAAATTGTATTATCATCAGGCCTCATACATTTGCTATTGTGGTTAAATACGATAATCACTTGAAAGTCTCCAGGTAAATGCTTTTTAAATTATAACAGGTGGTAGTAGTGGTAATTCCCAAACATGACACAAAAGATGATACATAGGATAACTATTGGAGGCAGCATTACTGCTTATTTCTCTGTAAGTATTGATTTCAAGTTAATTTTTCGTGTCTTCTAGAAACTGATCTTGCAGTTATTCATTTCATATTCTTGGTAATCATAAAAATCATAGAAAGAGGGAAGCACGACCATTTAGCCTGCTTCAGGAATGAGACTATCTTTTCAGATGAGGTGATACAGAGGAGCAGGTTAAAAGAATGTACCTGAGGCCAGGCTTCCTAGGTTCAGTGCTCAGTTCTGTTGATAACTCAGTGTGTGACCTTGAGTAAAACAGGGATAATATTAGTACCTACATCATAAGGTTGTATGAACTGAGGAGCAAATAAATTAATAGGTCAAGTGATTAGAACAATGTTAGGCACATAATAAACACTATTTAAATGGTAACTATTATTCACACATACACACACACTTCCAGGTATCTGAATGCAATGAATTCTTAGTTTTTGTTACTGATTATTTCTGATCATACATCACTAGTCTTTATAGATGCATAATTCCTTTCTTTTTTATTATTTCTTTGTCTTTTGCATCAGATATTGCATACAGAACAAATATTTAGTAAATAAGGAATAAATATGTGGCGATATTTCCAAAAGGAGTTGGTAGGTTTAAATAGAGTGCATGTCCCGTCTTCATCATACAGCTACTTAATAACATCACAACAGGCACCATGTAAACTAACATTCTGATAAAATAAATTTAACTTATTTGATAAGAGTAAACAGAAAGCTAGAATATCTTTATAATCCTAAAAGCTGATTTTAATGAACTTTCTCTTGCATGGAATATAATTGCTGCTTCACTGCAAATGTATTTTTTTAATGTAGCTCTTACAAGTACAGGAATTAAGCTCTTGCGTTACTTTTTGTATACTGAATGTTCAATTAAAACATCATTACTCTGCAGTAGCAGGTTTTCTCATTTAAACTAGAGAAAAGCTACCACTGAGCTGGTCATACTGTACATGAATGCACAAGTCTTATCTTAAAGCACCTGATATAATGAGGTATTACAAAATGAAAGACACCTGTCTGTCTAGGATAATCATTCAAAAGCAAGCTGATCAGACAGGTTTTAGGTATAGATAAGGCACTACAAGGCAATGACATATGAATCATCTTTATAAATATACCTACCTATATTTAAGAAAAAAAACAACTAAGGCTGTATTTTACTTTCTTGGCAATGGAGGTGATTCCTATAGCCATGAAAACTGTTGGATTTTCATGCCATAGTTTAATTTTCCCTCCTAAGAATGTCTGGTGCTGGCTTGACCTGAACATTTAACATTTGAGGCACCAAAAGCCATCTGTATAATACTTTAGCTAGGGTCAGCATTTCTACTAAATGACTTTGTTATCTGCCCTATAAATTCTCAGAAAACTCTAAAAGCCTTGGATGGTTGGGAGGATAGTCATTTCAAACAATAGCATTGCCCTAGATAGCTGGTAATATTTAGGCATAATATATGTGGGTACCAGTGTGGAAGCAGAAAATGACGTACAATCTAACTGGACTTCTGGAAAGAAGCAAAGTAACCAAACATAACTGAGGAGAAGTGGCCTTATTTGGATAAGAGTTTTATACTAGTGTTACTACCTGCTAGTTTTAGAACATTGGACAAGCCACTTAAAAATCTTTGAATCTCTGGGGCTTATATCTGCCAGGTGAGTCTGTTGGACTAAATGAGCTTCTAATTCCCTTCTAACCCCAAACTACTATGACTTTTCTTAAGAAGCACTAATTCCAAATGGGATAAAACTTTATTCTGATTACCTAAGTTCACTGGTGGTACAACCACTGTGTAGATCATTTTTCTAAGAAGCCTATTCATTATATTAGAATGCAGAACTAGTAAGCTTTTACCACAAACACAACATCTGTCACTAGCTTTCAGCTTCCTATGCTGTGTAAATGAAGATCTTGACTGGAAATGAATCTTTTGAACAGATGGACCTGCCCTATTTCTTAAAACTTTGATAGCTATACAGTGCGCCTGCCATGAACTCTTCTACGTGACTCATGAAAGCAGATGACTGTTTGCACTGCCATTTATGCACATTCATCTCCTCAAAAGCAGATCAACGGATTCTGCCTGAATGACATTCACTGCTAGCAAAACAAAACATTCTCTGATTTCACTTTGGATAGTTAATAAATTCCTTTGGGACATCAAGGATATTTAAGACTTTCCTTCTCCTGGGGCCCCTGTACACAACTTGTATTTATTCCAGAACTATCCCAAAAATGAAGATAATTCTGAAAGACAACAATATAATGCAATCCAGTTATGTTTCTCTCAAAAACATTTGAAAGTCCTTAAAAGGGGAAAACAATTATTTTGAATACTTGTAGGAATTCTGAGTAGACTTAAAAATATTCCATGTAAGCACAGTTCCCACATTTTTAGAAACGGTGGAGATTATGAACTCAATCAGAAGGTACTTTACCTGCTAAATTTGATATTGGGTTCATTTTTTAGATTCACCTCTAATTTATAAAGGAGTCATGTGAATTGATAGTTTATATCCACTTTCTGACATAAAGTCTTACTAAACATTTAAATCTGCTCAAGGATTGCACTTCTCAAGAATTTCAGCTTCACTGCAAATTCAAAAGGTGAATTTAAGAAAAGTGGAGTTGGAGGGGCGCCTGGGTGGCTTAGTCGGTTAAGCGTCCGACTTTCGCTTAGGTCATGGTCTCGCGGTTCTTGGGTTCGAGCCCCGTCGGGCTCTGTGCTGACTGCCAGCTCAGAGCCTGGAGCCTGTTTCAGTCTGTGACTCCCTCTCTCTCTGACCCTCCCCTGCTCACGCTGTCTCTCTCTCTCTCTCCTAGAAATAAATAAAAATATTAAAAAAAAAAAAAGATAAGTGGAGTTGGAGAGAAGGGCTGAAACTAGAGATTACTAAGAAGAATATTTTCTCTGAGCTTCCTAGATGGCTTCAGTCATAAATACAAATGGCTCTTAGTAACAACCTTTCCTGGATTTACCTGTCTGAATAAAGACTGTGTTTTTGTCACTTGGAGAAGAACTTGGTGTAACTTGTACAGAGCCAGGACCATGCCTGAAGCAGCACAATTGCCCTCCTCCCCAGCCCTGTCCTTTTCCATAATATTACATTAGAAATTATCCTTCCATATGTGGTAGATCTTGGGGAAAAAAATTGCTTTCTGTAAGTTCCAAAACTAGAATGTATTTTCTGAAAAGCAGGGTAATATAGTCAGTAATGTTTAATATATTGGGTCCTTTTGTTTCTGCCCTTCTTTTTCTCAGTTATATTCTTCCCTGGGTTTCTTTTTTTCTTTTTAAATAATAGTCACAGTTCAGTAGTTTCAAATTCCCAAAGTTGATCAAAATATGAATCTTTAGCTATTTCTAATAGCTTAGATGCTAATTTGATATAGCTGATTCAATTATAGGGCAATTTAACTATATAAAGATTGGACCATTAAGTAAGAACATTATCTTCATTTGGGCTCAGTACTTTCCATGTTAACTTGTGCATTAATAGGCAGGTTGAACACTAACAGAGGTCCACTAATACGCCCAAAGCTTCATATTACCCATTTTCTATGCTTGGAAAAGCAATATCAACTGCAGGGCCACTGTAGGTGACAGTATTAGGTTCACCTCCTTGTGACAAAGTTGTTTAATTTGTGGGCCTCATATTAGTTCAAAGAGTGATGCCCCCTCCTTATTTCTATAAAAGATAGTTCAACGCCTTTCTTTACTGAGTACTGAGACAATTCTTTGCCTTCTGATTGCTAAAGCTGTACCAAGTTCATCTTTCCCCCTGAAATCAGGAGCGTCTGGAATGCTAATGGTAACTATAAGAAAGAGTAGGTTACAGTTTAATCCTGCAACACAGTGTACACACCTGCTGCTCTGTGAGAAATAAACCAAGACGAGAGCTCATTTCAGGAGATGTTTTGAATCTTTACTCCTCAACGAAACTTCTGTCCCTTCCTTAGAATCCGACCAACACTCGGATTCACCACACTAGTGCTCCAACATGGAGCCAGAATATTTTTGAGTGTGGAAAAATCAAAAATTGTCATCAGGCACAGCAGAAACCTTCTCTTTCTACTTCTCCATTCGAACTTGAAGAGTTTTACACGTTTGCCTAAGGAACAAACACATGTCAGGTACTCCACTGTTCAACAGATTATTACAGGAAGCAAACCTGGGAGAAAGGGAACATTTCAACAAACATAAAGGGACAGCGAGACAATAACTTCCTTTATGTCCATAATAGTTCACAATGGAGATAGGTTTGCATGTCTCCTAGAGGATAACAAACTCTAAAGAACATTCTTTTTATTTCAGAAAGACACATACTCATAAATGGGACCCAAAATTAAAAAAAGGTTTTATGAGAAATTGATACAAAAATAGCAAGAATTTCTTGTGAATATTTTGAAATGCATTCTGCACAAACTTAATTGAAAAGTTCATTAAAGTCAAGGGAGAAAGTATATAGAAATTAGTACACCATCATTTTAACATAAAAGGGCAAAAACTATGCAAATAGTATTATGTAGTAATATTCAATTACAATTCAAAGATTTAATATTCAGTCTTTCCTGAATAGCCATGTCTACAGTAATTTGTGATTTTGCTAAATCTAAACCTAAATAGTACACAATTTAATGCTGATAAATGGGGACAAGTCATTTAACCAATGTATAGGTCTAGCCACCCATAGGTATTCATAAGCCAGCTTTGTTATTCTCTGCTCATCAACAGTGTAATCCTCATTAACAGTCTGAATGGTATCCATGATATTTTATAGATATAGATTTGCAAAGGTTTGTTTTATAATCTCTTTCCCAAAGTATTCCAGAGATATCAAACATGTACTGTTTGAATTTCAAATATTTGAATAATATTTGAGAGTATAACATGAATAACAATAATAAATAATCCTATGAAGGAGTGGCTAGCAATTTAGAATCAGACAATAGAAGGTTTTGGTAATATGAATCAGAAGAACATTTCCTACATAAATCTGAGAGTTCAGGATAGTTAAAACCAATAGCAAGGGGAAAAAACAATAATGTTATAATATAAAAAAAGTATCGCCCAGTTTGAAAAAAAATGGAGTCTTTGAGTAATAAGAACACCTTGTCCCCATCACACCTAGACCTCTCCCTACCTGCCTGGAAAATGCTAGACTAAAATGATGGCCTGAGAAATAATGGAAATTTTGAGTCCCGGTCATCATAAGTACTTGATTTTATCCAGACAGGTCAGAGC